AAGTAAAATAATTTTCTATATTAAAATAAAAAAATAAAAATAAAAGTAAAATAAAAAATAAAAAGTAAAAAGTAAAAAAATAAAATAATTCACTATATAAAAGTAAAAAATAAAATAATTTGCTATATAAAAAATGAAAAGTAAAATAAAAAGTATAAAAATAATAATAAAATAAAAAGTGAAAGAGTAAATAAAAAGAGAAAATAAAATATTTTATAAGAAATTTTTGTTGTTATATGAATATTTTTGAATATCTTATATTTTTTTATTATTTTAAATTTTTAGAAATTTTATATTACTATTATAATAATTTTATTTATAATATTTATTAGCTTGATATAATTTTTGAAAACTTTATAACTTATCTAATATATTTTTAGTAAATATTATTTTTTTATTATTAATTATAATAAAATTAATATAATAAGTAATATATTAAACTGATATAATATGAAAATATTTTTAGTAATTTTTTTTGGCTAAAGTCAAAATAATTATACTGATTTTTTGTATTTAATACTTTCAATAATTTTTTTAAATTAGATTCAGAGATGAATAAAGTAATTTGAGCTTGCTTAAATTATTATAAAATTATTATATTCTTAAGTATTCTTATTATTATTAGCTACTATAATATTATTTTAGTTTGAAATTTTTTTATTATTATTAGTTCAGACAGAGAAATCCAAAAATTATTTAAGGAGTCATTTGATAAATCTCTTGAACCAAAAATACATATAAGATGTTCCACCAAATATTATATGTAATCCTTTTACCAAATACATGTACATATACGTACATGTACGTATTGCACGCAATATTTTCTTAACAATCTTATCTAAGATTGCATGCAATATTTCCTTAAATATTGAACAAATACACCCTTACAATGTACATGTAATAATAATGTAATTTCTCATTACATGAATTCAACCTGCTCTCGCTAAGAAAAATTGTCAGTTTTATATTTCCAGATTCTCTAAAAATGCTGACACCAAATAATAATAACATCGTTATTGAAACTGCGTTCAAAAGTAAATAAAGTAATAACCTGTGATAATGCTCGATAACTATAAAAGGGGCATATTTCTAGTTTTGTCTCTTTATCATTCTGAATTAAAATAAGAAAACATTTCTATTAGCAATTTTCACAAATTAACTGTACTGGTTATTTAAAATGTCTGATTCCGTTGTTAACACTAATTACAATTGTCTAAACAAAAAAACGTAATCAATTCGATAAACCACTATGACCACAAAACAGCTGGATAATTTTTCGAAGAGGTTATGAAACGCATTTACGTTTATGCTATCAACACGTCAAACCAAAAGTCAAAGAAACAGCAAAATAATGCAGTTTAAAGTAGCGAAAGCTACCAAGCGAGATTAAGCATTGCTTCAAAATATTAGAGAAGATAGCTTGTGAGAACCACCAAAGCTTATATCCTAATTATAAGTATAAGCCAAAAAATACGAAAGTCGCAAACATCAAGAAATGGATTTTCGCGAACAAAAGAATACACGTTTGTTCCGCTACCCATGTCTAGCTTTCCCTCTTTAAGTAATGAAATCATGAATGATATAACATCAACGATTGAATATAATCGTACTTTATCACTACTTTAACATTTATTGATGATACTTATCCTTTTATGATCAATACTAATATTGATGCTACTGTTACTACTGCCATTGTTATTGATTATAGTATGAATATTTATGAAGCTCTTATCAACGAGTCTTTTATTATCAATAATTATAATGTCTCAATCAACAATACTTCATCGCCAGACCAATTCATCACTAATTATCCAATAACGTTATCAGTATCTTCACCGTTGTCAGAATCAGATTTACTCCCAAAATATGATTTATTAATTTTGTTCTTCTGCTCCATTTTTCCATTTAATGTTACTTAGACAAATAGATATTTGAACTTTACGATATGGTGTATATAATAAAAGATTTGAACTCCGCTATATGGAGTATATAATACTAAGCAATATAGTTTCCTTCTTCATTACTATATATTCTATTCGATTATTCATATCAATTTTATTTTTTTGTTTAGTTATGTCTGTTATTTCGTTTATTTTAAAAGTTCGTCGTGTCTGGTTTTTTTAGTTCATTCTTTCGTTCTTTAGCTGATTAATAAAAATATCAATTATCAACTTTACCGATATTCTACTTTACCTTATCATATGTTGCTCTGAAAATTTATTAGTTGTAATTTTAAATTTTGTGCAAAAACTATACTACCTATATTTTAAGGATCAATCTAATTATATCAACTTTTACATGTAACAACTTCAATATTAACCACATATATAGAATCTTAACCCTAACTCTGGTCTTAATTAGCCGATTAAAATGCGGTTATTACAAATAACAGTTACAAATACATGTACATTTTAATATTTCAAAATCAATTTATATTAAACACTGTAAAGTTTGTGTGTTATAATAGATACTAACAAATATAAAAATCAAATTAACCGATATGGTGCGCACTATCTAAAGTCACCAAATATTTACATTTTATAAAATGTACGTAAATGTTTGATGACTTTAGATAGTGACACCATACTCTGTATTTTTTATGCGTAATTTACTATCATACCAATACACTTAATTCATAAATAAACTAGATTAAGGTCACTATTATACGATTGTGACTAAAACAAAAAAAATGATAAATACGTAGCTGCAACAATCTGACTTGGGGATCATAGTGTTACTGAAATGCCATTAGAGCCTCTAATTCCGTAATCTTGATCCCTAATTTTCGCATGAACATCTTTCCATAACGACCTACATGAAAATTCCTCCAAAATTATTTTCTTGTGTAAGTTCTATTGTAAACCAAATTTAGAAATATTTCGTTAGGAATAGATACATGTATTACCTTTTTTTATTTATATCGATATTGAATTATGAACATTCCATCGTTCTTTTAAATATAACGTATATGATGATCATCAAGAGGGTAACAATCAGTAGCGTTGAACGATAGTTAATACACCTAACAGTACAGTAATGATTATCATGAGGATAATCCTGACAATAATCCGGACAATTGAAGAGCATCGACGAAATGTATGTAATGATAGTAACTATAAAAAAGGGGATAACAATTGTTTAGACAATTGAAAGACAATCGAACAATTAGTGTTTAGTCGTGTTAAAAGAAACCATTAATGTAAATTACTAACCTTAGAATTAGTATAGGATTAGCGTAGTAATTCGAAATTGTATACAGAAGCGTCTTCAAGTCGCTGAGAAGACATGCTTTGATCGTGCTTTAAAATTGAATAAAAATAACAAAGTTCATACTCATAAAATAACGATATTATTTGTGAATACACTATTAATTTCTTTTGTTTCGTGATCAGACTTCAAACCTTGTGAGTAATTGCAAGTAGTGGATGCTCCTCCACTCTAAATAAGCCGTCGACTTCTTTCGAAATAGTTTTGTTTTCTTTATACAAGCCGTATCAATAAGTCCTGTTGAACTAATTTTGTTTCTTTGTACAGGCCGTACCAATAAGTCCTGTTGAACTGATTTTGTTTCCTTCATACAGGCCGTATCAATAAGTCATTTCGAATTAGCTTTGTTTTTCTTTGATAGACCGTGTCAATAAGTCCTATCACGTTTGTGGATCGTTATCGAATAAACAAGATTTTATTATACCAATTTGAATCCTATTACAAGAGTAATTCTACTCTATCTTATTCTCCCCCCTCAAACACCCTCTCTTTATTTTGAAAAGGTCGATTTGTGAACAAATCGCCACGGGAAACCTCTAAACCAACCAGAAAGACCCTCCAACCGTAAATAATTTAGCCTAACTCCCACTCCGTTGCAGAAATGTAGTGATTCGGGCTAAATAGTTTAGAATAATTTAGGAATTTAGGACTTAAAAGGCTAAATTATTAAATAAGTTAAACTAATTTAGGAATACTAGAATCTATAAAAAATTGAAAAATTTATAATAAAATTTCAAAATAAAATAATTGGGCTTGGGCTAAATAATTTAGCCCGAATCACTAAATAAATGCAATAATCTGGTGCCCCAACCAGCGCAGAATAAGCCCTTTCGGTAAATATTAGAAGGAACGCAACAATAGCATATTATTGGTAAAATTTTTTTCTTATCACTATCGTTAATAATTCGTCAATGATTTTGTAATTTCATCATTTGAAATTACCAATTCTATTTGAATTTCATTTTCATCTTCGGAAACAAAATTAGTATCATAAGTAGCAATACCCAGTTCTTCTGGAACTAAAGCAGACAAAAAAGTTGGTCATTTCTAGTTGTTTGTTTACTAAATAGATATCCGGACGATTTATCAGTACGTCATTCCAGCATGCTTAATAAAGATTAATATACTTGGCAAAAGTCAAGCTGTCACTTCTTTTTTATAAACATAGTGCAGCACCATATTCAATGAATTTCAAACCCAAATTTATAGTAGCGATAGCAGCACATCATAACGAAAAGCATTTCGTATTTTTATTTCTATTAGAAAAATTATGAACTGAAGAAGAAATTTATAACAAGAAACAGTCTTTTCTCACTAACAATACGCACACCTCTTACTCAAATCAATTACGTAGAATTTATACATACCTGTTTCGGCATTTTTCCTGTAAAAATATAATGACGCCTCTTTAAATTACATGTGATACAATTATTTATAATTCTCCCTGTAAGCAATTAGGAATTTTTCGAATATACATGTATTTAGTAGCCATCAAATGTATCAAAGTTACATGTATATTATACGTAGTACATGTAGTTTCATTAAAAGTCCCATAATTCATTCAGATCACCGTATCAGTATTGCGTAACTTGTACAGACTAAGCCGCGTTGAATAACGTATATAGTGAAAAAATTCCCAACGGACCGAGTTATCCGACTGGCAAGGAAACATATAAAAGAATCAATTACCATTCACCCTATCGCTATTCTCATATTCAATCAAGAATACGAAAATGTCTGTAAATCCTTCATTCTCAGTCAAAAAAAGAATTCTGGTAAAAGACTTGCCATCCCATGCTATTCCTGAATTCCAAAAATCACTTTCAAAAGAAGCTCGGATTTTATCAGCGACAGCAACCGATGAAGTAGAAGCAAAAGAGTATAAAGAAGCGTTGGCTTGGTGGGCTGATAATTCA